TCTAGCATACAATTCTGTACTTTATTAACAATCTTCTTACTTTCTTTTTCCCTATTTATGGTATATTCTTAAGTAATATAGCAAATTAAGATTATTTTTAATTTTATTTAAGAACCCTTTTTCCTACTTACACCCTTCTTCTTAGATGTAGGCTCTAATAGCGTCACTGACAAAATTAGCTGTGAAAAGGGGCACAGCTGGCCAGACTGGCAAATAAAACACCTCCATCGGTCGGTGATGCTAGTAGAAATTGGTGTTAGGCTAGGCTTTTAGCATCTAATTTTCATAATTGTATATATAATGAATTAAATTATTAAGAAGACACTCGTTTTGTCGACCACTAATAAATAAATAAAATAAATAAGTTGGGCCAACAACAATATCAAGTATATTTCTTTTTATAGCTATTGCCACCCCCTGCCCAAACATCATTGCTATAACTCAAATAAATATACTAATTATAAAGATAGCGCAAATTGTAAGAATTTCTGTATAAATGTACACACACATTCATGCGCGTCTTTATTAATTTCCATCAACAGCAATGCAATTGCAATTGTATTCTGAGCTGTGTGTATGTGTTGTTATTTTTATTCGTTTTTTCCCGCTAAGAGGCGATTGGTGGTATGGCTGTTAAGTAGAGGCGGTGGTAAGAAGTTCGGTCTGTAGTCAAGTTCGAGTCTTATATATGTCTTTAGTTTTGTTATTTCATCTTTATCGAGAATGAATTAAGGGATAATCTTTAATATTGACAAATGGATACTGTATGATGTTATTGAGCCTGTTATGAAATCTATATATGTCTAAGCTTTTTCTGTTTGCGAATTATAATAAAAATTTTGTTTTTTTCGTTTGAATTTTTATAAATTTAGTTTTGATGATTGCTAATTAAATCGTTTAGAATCGTCTGATCATTGTAAATATGGCTAGCGAAAAATTTAATTAGTAATTACAATTTTAAGCCTCGTAATTTTATTTATTTTTTTTTTTTTATTTTAGATTTTTGAATTTTCAGTCGTCTAGTGGTGATTAGGGTCGGTCATGTATATAAGCGTCTCTTTCCTGAATTGCAATTCTCGCTAGCTTTAACAATCTTGTTTCTAATTGCTCTCAGAAGTGAATGTCCTATAGGTGTCAGTTAACAAGCCTGTAATAGAAGAAGATATGCATTTGTATAGCAGCTGTGACAAGTGCAAGAGAGGCTTGCCCACCCCCTACTATGAACAGCTGTTTCACTAAACTAAGAATACAACCTCTTCTTATGTTTACATGAATATTTGATTATGCTGATTTGATGCGGCTGCTGCAGAATCCAATTTAATCCCCCCGTTGGAAGCCTGACTTTCAACAGAATCGTTAAAGAGCAGCAGACACAGCTTGTTTAAGGCTCCTCGGATGATTTCACCCGCGGTCTTCAAATCAGCGATGGAGCTGGACTTTTCACATTTCCATGAGAATGAATCTCCTTGATGTCATCCCACAAGTTCGCTCTCTGCGTAACCCGAAGAAGAATGCGAGTGCCGTGATGAATGTGAGCAACAGTGAGTCCATGCTGCCCTCTACGCGTCATGAATTGTTCACATAGCCGAATGTGCGCTGCATGGAGCCAAATGAGTTTCTGTGCTTGCATCTAAGAGTTAAATCCGCATGTGGAGACTTAAGGATCAGTACACTTTTCCTCAATTCAATGGTTGGGTTTTCAGGCAGACAGGACGCCGGCCAATTTAGGCGACCATCTAGTAGATACGATAAGCCATGAAACCAGAGCTCCGATTGGGCTAGGACGTCGGAAACTGTGCCTCTAGAAAGAATGTCAGCTGGATTTCTGTCCGTCGGAACATATCGCCACTCCATACTGGCAGTGAGTTCTTGTATGGCAGCCACACGATTTGCCACGAAAACATTAAATTTGAAGGGCTCATCTCTTATCCAAGATAGGACAACAGACGAATCGCACCAGCAATAAAACTGGCTGACAAAGATGCCTGTGCGCTTGACTTCATGCATCAGATTAGCCAGCAGCTTCGCTCCACATAATTCCAGATTTGGGACAGTCAATGTTTTTAATGGCAACTCGAGACTTGTATCAAAGGATACGGCTTGTGGCTAAAGGACTTCTGGCCACCACGTAGATGCAGGCTCAAAGGTCCTCCACACTGACATCGCAATGGATTTTAACATCAGCTCCTTAGAAGAGCACCACTCTAGGAAACGATACATGTCGAATGTTGCGAAAACTGCTGCATAGCTCCCTCCACGTCGTATCACGTCCAAAAGGCAAGCTTTCATCCCAAGTTAATTTGTCCTTACAAAGCTGATGAAGAAAGATCTTTGGTTCAGTTATGACTGGTCCCAAAAGTCCAAGCGGATCATAAAAACGGTCAACAATAAATAGAACTAAGCGCCTGCAGGGTTTAACAGTAGAATCTAGAACAGAAAATGAAAATAGCTACTGGTCGATCACTGGATCCCATACAAGACCAAGGGCCTTGGTGACATCGCTTCCATCATCGAACTTCAAGTACTGTTCCATATCTTCATAAGCTATTCCATCGAGGAGTTCTTGGAACACCACTTACGAAGCTTAAAGTTTCCAAGACACAATATCCCGAGCGTCTGACGAATTTTCTCTCTGGCTTCAGCACCTGAGTTGGCTCCGGAAATGAATTCGTCAACGTAAAACTCCTGCTTGATGGCATCCGATCCAATTGGAAATGCATCACGCTTATCAATGGCCAACTGATGCATTGCGCGTACGTCCTGAAATGATGCTGAGCCATCAAACACAAAACTCAACTTAGTTGTGGTACTGTCTTCCTTCAAAACGCAATGATGTGGGAGGAAGTATTTGCAAAAGCAACTTAACTTACTCGGGGCATGTGATTCAGATCCAGAAATTCTTTGATGAATGCCGAGTACTGCTCCTTCAGATGCGAATGCCGACTCAATTTTCGCTCAAGACTTAGAAATCGACGATAAGACTCTCCTAGCGGCTCTGTTCTCCGGCAATCGCACTGAGTATTCGCCGGATGGTAAGTGGAAGAAGTTTTTGGCAAAGTGCTGCTCACATTCCAACTCTTCCTAGCTGGCCTTTACCAAAGGCTCTTCCAAGCTTTCAACTTCCCAAAACGCCGAACCAAATCTTCCAGAGGAACGTCCAACTGACCAGCTTCGCTATCAGTGAGGCTAGCAGCATCCAGAGGAACGTCCAACTGACCAGCTCGCTATCAGGAGTGAGGCTAGCAGCCAAAAACGAGGTACTACGTAGTCTCTCAAAAGCCCTGGTCGCGACCCAAGGCGAGTTCAATCAAAAGATTGACCGCTGTGATTTGTTGAACGAAGGATCAGCCATTATGTTCGAGGGGATTTTCCAATCCGAAATATCGATGTTGAAGGTAGGTGTGACTGTCGGTAATAGTTTGAGCCACAAGAGCATCAAAGGTGGCTGAATAATCTGAGGATGGTGACTTCATATGAATCCTAACAGCTGACTCTTCAGTAGAGACGCTTATGTCTCTGAGACCCGTGACGACTGTCATCGACCTGATTTTCCTTAACTGAAGTATCTGTGCGAAACGGGAGGTGACCATGTGCAACTGAGAGGCTGAATCTAATAAGGCCCTACAGGGAACCAAGCAACCAGAACTATTTTTTATCATTACCACTGCAGTGGCCAAGAGCACAACACCAGACTGAAGCCCTTGGACAGCAAGAGAGGTAATGGAGTAAGAGTGTGTCAAAGTGGCGATGCTCAAATCAGACGAAGTATGTGATGGTGTCGACGCTTCAGCTTTTGGTGAAGTAGCAAAATACAGCAGGGTACGATGCTTTCCTCACAAGTACGACAATGACTACTACTGCAAGACCGAGTTTGATATCCTTTCCTTAGGCAGTTATAACAAAAGGCTAGATTGTTAACTTCTTTATGCCGAAGAGAATGAGATAAATTTCCGAATTTACTACATGTGTAGATCGCGTGACCAGATGCATCACAAAAAATGCAGCCACTTTGGTTGGTCTTGGCTACAAGCACTCTTTTGCTGGGGATAGTATTATGGTTGGATTTGCCCACCTGAGTGTTTCTCATATGGAATGACTTGGCATGTTGACAACGCCTTTCCAGAAATGCGAAGAACTCATCGGCTGTCAGGACATTGTCAATTCCTGTGGCTTCCTCCCACTTGGTCTGAGTCTGGGTGTCTAGTTTTTGAAGCAGCGTCTGCACTACTATGCATCCTGAGATTTGCTCCACTTCCCAAAGTCTGCAACTCACGCATATGCGAAAAGACCTTGTCCGAAAACTCACTCAGTTTTGAAGCCGACTCCGAATCTACCCTCTTGAGTCCTCATTGATGTGTGCCTGGAAAACAAGACGTTTGTTACTAAATCTTCTATTTAGAATATCCAGAGCCACACGATAATTGGCACCGAAAAACTTCAATGATCAAATCGAATCCAACACAGGGCTAGACAAACATGAGCGGCTATGCTGCAACTCTTCAATATTCGAAAGCTCGGTATCCTTGCCGTCGACTGACTCAACCATCGTTGGTAAATTGAACTCGGGCAAGCGCGTATATAAGTTATGCCAGCGAATGACCGCACAAACGGTAGAGCGCGAAAGTAAACTAGCGGCGTCTTTGTATATGCGAAATTTGCGAGCTGTAAAGTTTCAGCTCACACTGGAGTTTTGCAATTGCCTTATTATAACAATTTACGATAATTATGTTGCACTTGAATAACAATTTCGCCGGAGCCTCCAAAGTTGCTAATGTTTTTTAGCAACTGTTTTGAAACTTTAGCCAAGAAATAAAGGCACTTTTGCCTTTTCTCAACAACACGTTATAATTCAGTTTTATTAATCGAACTTATATAAATTGTAAGATTATTTGGCTGTGGTTCAGAAAAGGTTCTTCGCTTCGCCTCGCTCAACAACGAACAGGTGTGTAATGTGACAAGTGCAAGAGAGGGTTGCCAGCCTCGTTTACAACGAACAGCTGTTTCACTAAACTAAGATTCCAACTTCTTTTTATGTTTACGTGAATATTTGGTTATGCTGATTTGATTGAGCCGCTTCAGAATCCAACACCATCATAAGAATCTTTTCCAAGTTGGATATGAAGCGCTTAAGTGAATTCGGACTAACTTCGAAGGTTGGTAGGAACTTGATAGTGTCCTAGTGTTCTTCGGTTCCGTTGCTTGTCATATTTATCGATGTTTGATTATTATTGTACGTTAAATATATTACGTAGTCTGTGATTTGTGTTGTATTAAGTGTGTTTTTTGCTACCTTCCTAGTTTTGCTCCTAGTGATTGTGCTGACTGTGAAGGTTTTTGTAAGGTTTCGGTTGTGGTGTGTGGGGCTTATACAATATTTGTATGTGTATGTGTTATTTTAAAATAACAATATTGGTAAATTACCAATTTGCTTGTAGATTTATTTAAATTTATTTATTTATATTTTATTAATGGTCGAAAAAACGAGTGTCTTCCTAATTATTCAATACATTATACATACTTTATAAAAATTAATTGCGAAAAGCCTAGTTAGAAAACACAATTTTCTAATAGCATCACCGACCGTCGATGGAGGTGCTTTATTTGCCAGTGCCAGCTGTGCCCCATTTTACAGACAATTTTGTCAGTAACACTATAAGAGCCTACAAGAAGAAGGGTGTTAGTAGAAAAAAAAAGAGAAAAAAGTGTTCTTAAGTAAAATTACAAATAATCGTAATTTACTATATTATTTAAGATAATAAAATAAATATAAAAAAAGAAAGTAAGAAGTTGTTAACAAAGTAATGAAATGTATGCTATAAATATAGAGTGTTAAGTAGATAGGATAAAGAGATAGTAATGGGAAATCACCGACCGTGGGGGAAAATGTATAGCCTGTCCGGCAAGCTATGCCCCTGCTCATAGCTGAAAATGGTCGTTGAGTTCCTGAAGGAATCCTGAAAGCAACGATTTTACTAAGGGTAGAGAAAGTTTGGTAGAGTGAACGTGATGCAACATATTGTAATTTTTACATAACACTTAAAAAGGATTGTTCATAGCGTAGTCTGAAGGAAGACAACTCCGAGAATTGTCCTACGATTGGTTAACGACGGAAGATTAAAAAGAAGCAACCTGCTGGAGTAGAATGGCAACCCACGATTAGGGTCCCAAATTAAACCTCGTAAGGCAAAAAGCAGAAATTGCTTCTGAGCAGATTCAAACGATCTTGGCTATTGTTATACTACGGAGTCCAGATGCAAGAGCAGTATTCAAGGATAGGGCGAACAAGAAAGATGTACACAAATTTCGTTATAAAAACTCTTTAGACCAACGTTTAATGAATCCAAGTACACCTTATGCCTCATTAACGATGGTATCTATAGAGTGCCTAAAATAAAAAAGAACGCCTAGATCCTTAACTGTTGGTATACTTTGCAATGGAGTATTGTCAATTGTATAACTAACAAGATAAGGTGTAGTACGATTAAAAGTCGTAAAAATACACTTTGAACAATTTAGATGCAAATAATTGGCAGAGGATTAGTGTATGCTAGAATAAGTTTAATACATTCATAAGTACCCGGTTAAGTGATATAACCAAGGGGAGATCATTTATAAAAAGAGTAAACCTTGAGAAACTCCAGAAGTAACGTGAACCTGTTTCAGCCTCAGCATTACTCTTTGGGTCCTTCCTTTTGAACAAGAAGAAATAAAAAGTAAAAAGAAGAAGTAAAAAGTGTCATGGCTATAAAACTTTCTCGGATTTTGGGCAAATTGCCTTATGCAACGAGAAAGATAATTCTCATACCACTGCGAATTAAGAAGAAAGAAGTTGGACTTGGCATGTGGAATATTTAGCTAAGTCAATACTCGAACCAGACTTATTTAACATTTTAAAATATTTAGACTTAATATTTTGTAGGTCCAATAGTCTGGGAGTGAACCAAGGTGGGTTTGAAGAAGCAATTGAAGGAATTGAATTAGGAATACAAGCATCTAAAATGAAGTTTAGGGTGTTATAAAACAAATAAATAGAAATATTCATATCAACCGAGGCATATAAAAAAGACCAATCAGTTGCATGAATACGTTGATTAAGCAAGGAATAGTTTCCTTTGCGAAAGCAAAGGCGGAGCAATAGAAATTTAATTTATTTGAAATAAGGAAAGGTCTTGCATGCAATCTATAAAGTCATGCTGTGCTGAGGGTACTAGATAATTTTCAGGAGGGAATAATGACTACGAGATGTTCGGTAAATTAAAATCACCTTACACTATAATTAGGTCATTATCACGTAAGTGTGACGAAACTTCTTTAATACAAGTAAAATGTTTCATTTAAACTTAAATATCTGAAGAAGGAGGAAGAAATGAGCATATAATATAGATATTCCGGGTAGGAAAAGACACCTGAGACAATCTCATTACAGTAAGCGTACTAAAACAGAAAACTTCTGACTGAAAGTGGCTTTAACGGCAATTAAAACGCCACCACCTCGAGTCGGCCAATCATTTCTATGCAAAATAAAATTGTTCGAAAAAACCTCAAAATCAGATTTGGTTGAATTTAACTATGTTTCTCAAAATGCAGTTCTATCCGAATCGAAAGAAGTGCTAGCAATAAAAAGATTTTTAAGTTTGGATATGAGACCGCTGACATTCTGATAATGAATAGAGACTTGGTCGGAAGACGAAGTTATTTTTCTGGGGCAGAAACGGAACCCTGTATTGAAGGGACTGGAAGGGTGACAGGCTGGTTGAGTCCTCATTGATGTGTGCCTGGAAAACAAGACATTTTTTACTAAATCTTCTATTTAGAATATCCAGAGCCACACGATAATTAGCACCGAAAAACTTCAATGATTGAATCGAATCCAACACAGGGCTAGACAAACATGAGCGGCTATGCTGCAACTCTTCAATATTCGACAGCTCGGTATCCTTGCCGACGACTGACTCAAACATCGCGATGAAATCCGAATATTCGGTATGGCCTCCAGAAAACGTTGGTAATTTGAACTCGGGCAAGCGCGTATATAAGTTGTGCCGGCGAATGACCGCACAAAAGGGAGAGCGCGAAACTCAACTAGCGGCGTCTATGTATATGCGAAATTTGCGAGCTGTAAAGTGTCAGCTCACACTGGCGTTTTGCAATTGCCTTATTATAACAATTTACGATAATTATGTTGCACTTGAATAACAATTTCGCCGGAGCCTCCAAAGTTGCTAATGTTTTTTAGCAACTGTTTTGAAACTTTAGCCAAGAAATAAAGGCTCTTTTGGCTTTTCTCAACAACATGTTATAATTCAGTTTTATTAATCGAATTTATATAAATTGTAAGACGGTATCTATAGGGTGCCTAGAATAAAAAAGAACGCCTAGATCCTTAACTGTTGGTATACTTTGCAATGGAGTATCGTCAATTGTATAACTAACAAGATAAAGGTCGTATAAATACACTTTGAACAATTTAGATGCAATTAATTGGCAGAGGATAAGTGTATGCTAGAATAAGTTTAATACATTCATAAGTACCCGGCTAAGTGATATAACCAAGGGGAGATCATTTATAAAAAGAGTAAACCTTGAGAAACTCCAGAAGTAACGTGAACCTGTTTCAGCCTCAGCATTACTCTTTGGGTCCTTCCTTTTGAACAAGAAGAAATACAATGCAAAAGAGACGGAGGGAAACCTAGTCGGTCAAGTTTAAAAAGTAAAATGTCATGGTGCACAGATTCAAACGCCTTTCTGAAGTCAGTGTAAATAACATCAGTATGCATTTTAGAAAGGAAAGCATCATTTACCAAGGAAGTAAACTCAAGCAGATTGGTAGTAGTTGACCGATTCTTTACGAATCCATGTTGAACAGGGGAAACAACTGATTTGCAGAAATGCTGCAAATTCGAAGTGATTTTTTTTTCAAATAATTTAGGAATATCGGGCA